TACTATAAATTGAGTGGGAAAGTGAAACGGAATTTAATGGGAAATCAGTAATGATGGATATCCTAATCGGAAATTAAGCTGTAGATATGAACATTGTCAAGGTAGCTCAAATTTCCCTAGCAGAAAAACGTCTATACACATGTAGATCTTATTTGAGTACGGCAAATGTGCACGATAAGCTTCCAAAGACGTAAAACAGTGTTAGGAACAGACCCAAAGTAACAAAATTCTTTCACAAATCTTTATTGATGAGTGTTAGGGCAATTTACATTGCTCAAAGGCTAATTTAAGCTTCGTGTTTGGATCTTCGCCACTAGAATTAAGGATTAAGGTGACATTTGATCAGCAATTTAAAAGACGCGCGCAGATAAGCCAATCAAATTGGAGCAATTTTTTACATGCTAATTGTTGAGGCCTTTTTAAAAAAACCGTTCCTAGGAGTGACCCTTCGGTTCAAACCTATGCTCGTTCACCTTAAGGGGTAAAAAGACACTTTTCCTTGAGAGCAATTTTCATTCCAAAACATAATATTCGGACAATGCTTTACATAAAAGAGACGGATCCATTGAGGTAAGTTATTTTACCAAGTCAAATACATCAAAATTAATTTTCTAATCGTGAAAAAAGACGCTGAATTTGGTGGGTGACAAAGCAGCTTCAGTCGTCCAGTCAGTATATTACTTAGTTAAGTGGGCGGTTAGTTGCTAAGGCAACCGGTGCTTGCAGGTGTTGGAGTATTTTTCAAAGGGGGAGGGGGTGAATCCGGGGGATGGAAATAATGGGCAAACATGTGAATGCTGCAAGTGGAAAGACGACTTGGATAAAACTCCACCCCTGAAGTCTCCCAAACTGAACATGGGAGTCCGGTGTATCGGCACTTGAAATCATGTGTCCAATGGAGTGGCATTAGGAAGAAATTATTGATGAGGCGAAGTTTTTGGCACAAAGCGCTATTCACCCACAACGCCTAATCCAAAATTATCGGCAAGAATGCATAAAGAAGCACTGGTAGTATGGCTTTTTAACGGGTATACTGTGGATGAAATTTTACAGACGGATAGCTTTATGATGTCCGTATTCTAATGGGCAGACAATATTGCTCAGCTCCCCATATTTAACCAAAAAATGCCTGGAAGTCAAGTGTTCGCGATTAAGATTGTATTGACTATGCTTCATGGTATGAGGTTGCTTAGGCTGTCATTCAATCGGTAGAGTTGGTCTCGTTTATGCGATCACGAAAAGGCCGCCACTCACACAGACCCCGTCTACCTGCCATAGTGTGCTTACCTCCCACCTCATTTCACTTCACTCAATACCAAAAGCCCAACCTGCATGCGGTGGTGAGACAAGGCGTCTACGGCTACACGCCTCACACCCACTCCGCTGCTTCTGTTGGCCATCCACCCTGCCCATGACCGACAGACAAAAACACAACGCCGTAACACCCACCCACACGCACACACACCAAAACCAACTCCAACATCTCAAATCAATCCACCATCTTCGAGCGAGACTGACACCAGCACCACGACACGAAGACTCGTGGCAACGGGGAGGCAGGACAAATAGGAGACCGTCAAAGGATGCAGACACACACACACACACACACGCAGACAGTAAGTGAGACAAAAAACAAGGAGGGAGGGAGAGAGAGTGAAGAACAAGTATCAGGGGGTAGTGCCCTGACACCTATGAAGGAGTTGTTGATTCACCCAACGGTGCCCGCACACCCACATTCGATCCTTCCTCCTCATTCGGCTGGTGGCACCTCACTGCTTTGCCATCGCCACCTGTGACACCATCGACAGAAGCGGAGACGCGATTACGACCGTGGACAAGACTACCACCAAAGCCACAATCGCCAGTTACTCTCCGCTTCGTCGCTACCCCGTTTTTTGGCAGGTACTGACTCGGACAGGGTGGCACAAATTTTGGTATGTCCAACAACTGAAAAGGCGAGAGAGTTTGAGCATCAAAGTAGAGCAGCAATGAGCACAAGTCCTACCACACTAATTTTAATACACCAAACGTATTCGCCGAAAGAACTTTAAGAAAAACCGAAATCTTGATTGTAAACCTGTGGGCTAAAAATGACTTGCACTTTGGCAACAAAGCCAACAATGGAAGTTATAGAAATCAGCATAGAATCTTCTATGCCAAGTGACCAATTAGAATGCGTTTCAAATTAATAAGTCGTTTTTAAGACTTGAGACACATTGCTGCATGGAAGTTAATTCTCACTTTCAAAACATTAGCCATTGACTAAGGCAACTTCACTAAGCAAAAACCCTCCAAGTCGACGAATCTTTGATGTTCCACTAACATCCGCATCATTGACAGAATCACCACCTTCCAACCAACCATCCACTCCAATCGCATACCTCCCTGACTGCTCACGCTGCCGATGTGTGCAATCCACACCTCCTCACACCCCTGACATCCCTCACATCACACACACCCACCACCTTCCCCACGCCTCACATTCAACACATCAACAAAGATGGATGACCACGTTGGCGGTGGAGTGTCAACTCTGCAAAAATCCGCCCTGATTTATGCCTTCACCGAATGAACAACTCTGCTTTCCACCACATTCTGCACACACTGTTCTTCGGGTCGCCATCGCTACTCAACGCGCACACATTGCACAGCACCTCATCTGTCAGCATTGAGCACTACGAGGTTGCTCGATTCGCCCAACGCAGTTGCGGTTGCGTTTGTGGCTGTGATTGCGGTTCACTCACACAACGCGACCACGAATGAGGACATGCGCACACACACACACAAGGAGTGAGATACATCAGTGGTGTGACCATCGAATGCCTTCCTGACTGCACGCAAGGCTAGTGACCACCACTTCTCACTTGCCTTTGGTGTCCACTGGGAGAGTGGATTTGATGTGAAGACTGTCCACACCACTGTTACGACTGCATCAGAAGGGGAGCCAAGCCGGTGGAAGCGAGAGAAAGTGAGGCGAGGCTGAGGCAATGCAACAGATCGTATAGCACAACAACTTCTCCTCTGCATGCTTCTTCACAACCCAATTCCTCCTCTCATTCCTTCGACTTGTGTCTACACCCTCTCAACTGTTCTGTGTGCAGGAGGCGAAGTGTGGAACTCCACAGTGGTGCGTGTGGAGTTAAAGAAGTTGGCGAAAACCGGCAGAGCTCTGTAATCGCCTTGACATTGCATACACTGTCTATCATTACTCATTTTAGCAACGTGTGGCATTGAAATACTAACAGTGTCAGTCTTTTAATCCGTTCCTTTAAACTTACCACTAAATCACTGACACCGGGCTAGCTACACTTTGTGCAGTTGTGACTTTTTTCCCTTCTGCATGTCTATACCTCTCAATGTGTGTGTCAGCACCAAAGAAGCCATGGTCGTGGCTTTTTTGCACCTATATACCATCCTTAATTATTTTGATGCAGAACGTTTCCTTAGAATTGAATTGTTTGAAATAAGCAGTGTAATTTTAAGCTTTTACTGGTCAAAAAAGTGAAATTTGTCCTTTTTTCTTAGCAACTACAGGCACACTTATCTGTTAGTTATGCACATCCTATTGTTCTCTAAATAGCACAGGGCTGAGTAGATTCGAGGCTGAAATTTTATCCTGCTACCTAACTAGGCCTCCAATAGAGAGAGGATACATAGTTCTTGGATGTAAGTAATTCTTTTACAATTATGAGCTTGTCTTCATTGTGCCAGCTGTCAACATCGCGGAATACCATCGTATTCAGTCAGTGTCTACCTACCGCATATACGCAGTTAGCCAGCTAATTAAAAGATATCAAGGACAGGATATCAAAAGGACGGCGTTTAAGAAGGTTTTATAGGTTTGTGCGAAATATTATATAAAGTAGCAAGATATTGGTAAAATTTGTCTTTGGTGCTTAAAAATATGTGTCAAGAGTGTTATTATTAAAAATTATATCAAGTGGTCGCCTTTGACACAAAGGAAAAGATAGGATATGATATTAGCATAGCTTTATTTTTTCCACTCATCTCTCTCACACTTTGGAAGCTATAGTGGTCTTATATATATGTAAAAATAAGCACGCCTGTGTAACATCTATTATATATACATAATATATATAATACTCTACGCAGCATTGACCACATACTCAACATAGATTATCACTGAACCCATGTAGCTATACTCATGACGCATCGGTCGAGCTTATGAGAATGAGTGGTTGTAATGCTTTGTTTAGATGGCCACCTGACGTTTGGCGGTGACTTTAGGGTTTATCTGAACTTTGAACTCATGGGCTGTCCTCCTGGCCGAGCTAAGGTCCAGTTGCTTTGTTCTCTTTGGAATACATGTATCTAGCTCCATTACTGCCTTCTTCCACTCGGTGGGAAGTCTCAGGACACTACACTGGTGATCTTAGAATCATCTGACGGGGCAAAAATCTCCAATTCGAGTGTCCTTCCTTAAACATGCAACCATCAGCCAATTCAGATACTGCAAAGGAGATGATGTGCGACTTGACCATTCTAATGGATGCTAATGTGGCGTCTATGCTGCTACAACCTTGGTATCATCCTCATTATTACTATCTCATCTCTTAGCCCTGATAATCCTGCTATTATTTAAGCATCAGTGAGCTTCTCTTAGCCACAGCAAATCACAGTTTCACCATCATCGTCTTATACACCACCAATGATGCCATCTCCCACATACCCTTCTGCAACTTCTGCATTCATCACTTCCTCACATCAATACGTTTGCTACCTTCGTCGCTGCTATTACCATCGTCATTGGCATGAATTTCCGCATTTCAGTCCCCACTGTCTTTTCAATGACCAAACATGTCCGTCACATCATCTATGGGCTTAGAGACGAACACACACGGGAGAGGATTAAAACCGAAATGCATCGAAAATTTCTATCCTTCACTCTGCTTTGTTATGCATGCTTAGTGTGCCCTTCCTTTCGCCTCCCAATTGGAATTTGAACGTCACGTTGCTCAATTAGTGATTTCTAGTGTCAGTAATCTGGAAACACTGTAAGATGGCGCGTAAAAAAGTACAAACAGACAGCGAGCGAAGGAGTTCGGAAAGCGACCTACAACTTTAACCAGCACTGCTTAATTGAGATCGACATAAACTGGATTGAAGGAGAATGTTGATGAGTAGAAGGAAAACAATTCAAGGCAAAGGAAAGAAAGAAGGCGAACTAAAAAGGGAGACAAGCGGCAGAGATGATGTGGAGGGCGTATTACAATGAAATGCTCTACACAACCATGGCTCTCGTGTTTCTCCCCTTCCTAATTTTCAACCACCTGCCTGTCACCTTTCCTTACTTCATCTCACGTCACTTCACCTAACTCCACGTTAAACTGCCTCATCCTTAACCGCTCCATCTTGATGCGCTTTTTCCTCGCTCGCATGTTGTGTGAGGGGTTTGCTGTTCATGCCTCAACAGTAGCCCTTGCTCAAGCAAAGTGGCGCTGACACCCGCTTATGTCAGTGTCATTTGCGTAGTCGCACCCGCACTGCCTCCTGATGAGCATTTTGAGCAGGCGGTCTGATCATTTAAGTTGCAGACTCCACTCAAGTAAGCTACTGTCGTCTCTCCCGATTCTGTCCAATATTCTAAAGTAGGTGCACACCTGATTGGCGAGTGCCGAGCTCGTTAGCATTCCATCAATTCTGGGGGCAAAAAAAGGGGTTACACAACCTACCCTGTGTCATTTTACAACGCCCTTATTTATCCATAGTCAAAAGGCAACAAACGTGCAAATTGCGGCTTTTTCATTAAAACGTGCAGTCACGCATCATTTGTGTGCCCGAACGGGATTATAAAACCCAGTCACATAAAAGAGGTGTAGCGAGTAAGAGAAACGGCAACTGTCGAAAGATAAATTTATGGTAATTTGACGGCATCTTCGGTCACCTAGCTGCTATCATAAATAATATGGTAAATAATAAATCCTCCACTGATCTTCTCGTCCCACCCACAAGGTGAGCAATTAAAGGCCGCGCTCAAGTCCAACACACCCATCTACCACCACTTTATCCACAAACTGCAATACTAATGAGCACGGCAGATGGAGGCACACAGTGGAGGACACCGCAACGCACACGGTGGTGAGGAGGTCACAATTTAGTAATGAGATGAATACACTGACCATCCATTGAGTAGCGGGGGTCATGTGAGATGGCCATCGTCGATAAGTCAACATTCTTTTCCACTTCAATCCACTCGCATGTGTCCGTTTGCGCCAGTGTGTGTGTATGTGCGTGCGTGTGTGCAGTAAACTCTGATCAAGTCATTCACCTTTACACACGTGCCACCAACGGTTTGCAATACTCTCATGCAAGTGAGATTGTGGTGCCACTGGTGCCTCTCAACCTGCTCCCATCACGACACTCACGCTGAATTACAAGCACTGCTTTCCCTACACCACCTCAGTATTACCAAATGTATGCGTTTCTACTTCCACCGAACACTACGTCCACCACCACCACCACCACCACTACAACTACTAGAGTCACACCCACGCAGTGCAGCCACTATGTGTGCATTGGAGAGTAACCAACACGGAGCACACCGAGTCCTCACTCCACATCCCCTCAAGGCAGGTTGTGCAGCCATAAGCCTCGTCATAAACACACCCGCTACCTCAACCACTGTCACCTCGGGTGACTTGATTGCCTAGTCTGTGCCAAGTGGCGATCGCAATGACCTGCCAACTGCGCCGTCTACACCCTAACGACAACAC